TCTCCACATCCTTGCCAGCACTTTTTGTTTGTTGTTTTATTAATGCTAGTCATTCTGACAGGTGTGAGGTGAGATCCCATTGTGGTTTTAATGTGCATTCCTCTGATGGCTAGTGATGCTGAGCTAGTCTTCATATACCTATGGGCCACCTGTACATTCTTTTTGGAGAAGTGTGTTTTAGATCCTTTCCCCATTTTTTTTTGATTGGATAGTTTGGTTTTTGGTGTTGAATTTTGTAAGTTCTTTATAAATTTTGGATATTAAACCCTTATCACATGTATTGGCAAATACATTCTCCCATTCTGTGGGTTGTCTTTTTATTTTGTTGATGGTCTCCTTTGCTGTGCAAGAACCTTTTAGTTTGATGTCATCCAACTTTTTTATTTTTTCTTTTGCTTCCCTTGCCTGGGGAGACACATCAGATAAAATATTGCTACAAGCAATATTATTTAACTATTTTCCCAGTGCATCATTTTTTATGCCTTTACTTTAAATATTCTTCTGTCCTTAAATTTTAAGTGTGCCTTTAGGAATTAAAATAGATCTGAACTTAAAACTCCATCTAATATGAGAACTTCTATGAACTGTTAATGTTGATTTACTTACGCAGTTGTCTCTGAACAATGGAGGTGTCAAAGGTGCTGATGCCTGTGCAGTCGAAAGTCTGCGCACAACTTTTGACTCCCCCAGAACTTAAGTACGATCAGCTCTTTGAAGCCATGGATTCAACCAACCACAGATGGAAATCAGTAGTTTTGATACGTGGCTGGGAAAACACAGTTGGGAATGGGGGGTGCGGAAACCGTTTTCAAAATGAGTCTATGATGTGAAATCTGCTGATGCAAAGGACTGTGTTCGTTGAAACAAATCCACATATAAGTAGACTTGTGCAGTTGAAAATTGTGTTGTTCAAGGATCAACTGTGTTTGCTATGATGCCTAATATATTCAGAACTATTTCTCATTTTGTACATTCTATTTTACCTTTTCATGGTTGTTTTCATTATCCTCCCAGTACAACTCCTATTGCACTGGCCAAGTTGTTTGTATCTCTTCTCCACCCGCCACTGGTTTGGAAGTTATACAGTCTCTTTCCATTCTTGTGGACTACCAAGCTTTCCCCAACATTTTAATGTGAAAACTCTAAATACACACAATGTTTAAAGAGTTATACAGTGAATACTCTATGCCCATCATCTAGAGCTATCTTCAGTTTCAACACATATACTTGACTTAAGGTCTAAATTTTACCAGTGTATCTAATCTTTGATACGTTAAGGTTCACAGAAGGCTTCAACTCTTCTTAAACTCACTTCTTAAAGTTTTCTACTGGGTTTTAAAGGGCCCTGAAGTTAGTCATTAAAACAGGTTTTGTTGTTGCTGCTTTAAGAGCTAATTCTACTTTATCTTATATACTTTCTGCTTTGCCAAATTTATTGATCAACATTGTTTTTTATACCATATTCTTGCTACCTTTCTAAAAACAATTCATAGTATTCCCTACAGCCTGCACTGCAACTTTAAAAATCCTAAATAAACCATCCTGTATTCAAATCATAGTTACTGGCTAGACTTTGTTGAAATCAGAGCCAAGCTTTTGTTCTCCATAACAACAACTTCATATGTTTATTTGCCAAACAGACTGCAGTCTCAAAAACAGCAAAGAATTAGTATACATCCCCTATACCTAGGCATCTTCTCTATACCTGGCCTGAGAGAACACAACAATAAAGTCCTTCGTGAGTCACAGAGTACCACGGGGCATGCTTTCTGAAAGCACGAAAGAGCATGAAACATGCATGTGACTATTCGGTTGTGTTGTTTATACTTCATGCTTCCATAAAATGTCCCCTCCTAGGACTCTGGAGATGATCTGAAGAAAACTGTCACCCAGATAAAGCACAGGAGACTAGGTTTGGGAGAATGGCTGTTCTCCGGCTTCCAGCTCTCCCTGGCTCTGTGCCTTGTTTCCGTCTGTCTCTCTTGCACCTGTTTTCTCCATCCATAGAACTGACAAGGGATGTGAAATAATCCTCAATTCTATGAAAACTCTGAAAATCCTTTAGCCTCTGATTTTCATTATTCTAAATAAACACTTTTACCAAGATGGTATTGAGTCCAGAAATTGTTAAAGTACCTGAAGAAAGGTAAAAAGGAATCTCATAAAAAGATCCAAGGTATGCTGCTGACTTGGAGCAAAAATGCTGAAACCAATTTTCAAAAAAATGAAAAAAAATGTACTCGCTAAGTGCACCTCATCCAGAAATCACATGGTTGAAACCTCGACCCAGCTGTATCTTCAACCTGGCTCTGTGACAAGTGCAATCTTCTCGCTAATTTCTTTTTAAGACTCCAACTTGTTCAAGCAGATAGTACATATGAAAGCTGGACGAAGACGATATAAAGCCTGGGAATCACGGCCCAGCTCGTCACTGGACATGGCCCAGGCGTGTTACTCCCCAACAGTATCCAACTAGCTGATGTGCAATCAGGGGAAAGTGGCTTGCAGTTTTGTTTTAATTAAAAGGAAATGAACATTTTCAGGAAGCTTTACCTATGCCGTGTGTGCAATAATGCATGCAATGAAACATCTACACTAGATGAAATGCCTCATTACCTCGACTAGATTTGGTCTAATTAGAAAGTAAATCAAATTCATACGGAAAAATAATTGTCACCGTGCATAATAAGCGTGTTCTAATTTGGAATCTTAGGAAGCATACACATACCGCTGGAGGCATGGGCTTCATACTATAATATCAGAAAAAAGAAAACTGACTAAATACAAATGCTTAACCTTGGCTTAGGATTATTAAGAGAAGGGCCATCCTTAATGGAGTGCTGGTACACAGCATTCAGCAGACCTATAAATCACAGGTGCCACTGTAAGAGTGATACCAGTGCTCTGACGGTGCTTGTGCTTCCCACACAAATAGTCAGTGGTACAAAAACATCCGCTACCACGTAGCTGGCACAACCAGTGACACTCACTCAGGATAAAAACCCTAGGTCCTTGGAATCACATCCTAAAGTACTTTCCTAATTTCACTGCACATTGAAAGACCAGTGGCAGGGACAACTCTGAAAGCAGAGTTCCCTTTGTAAATGACGGGACGCAGTGCGAGGAGTCAGAAGCCACTTGCAGAAAAAACTCTATGTAGCTGCACAGGCCAGTTCTCCTCTCTGTGACTCTCCTTCCACATGGGTGCATAAAAGACACTACTCTCTGAATGCACAACAGAGCCCTGAGAATTGGCGGTCCCGAAACTCTGGAGAAAAGGCATAATGAAATGACCAGGGCAGCAGCATCATTTTAGGCACTGAATGCATGGCTGCATTTAGAACACCTTTTCATCAGGGCCATGTGGGCTTACAGTTGAGAAAGCCTACAAACAGGAAAGTATCTTATTTGAAAGTTTTTGGTCCATAAATCTTTTCTCCTGTTCTTCATCATTCACTCAAAGAAATAGAAACAAAAGATGTTTCCGCCAGGACCTAATGAGCTCTTGCTGTTTATGAATTTCTGCGGCCATAATCCATAGTATCTGAGGATACGTCACAATCCAAGTGTATCTGAGGAACCAGCTGTGGGGTTAGAATGTGGGAATATGAAACTCCTAAAAGATGGTGTGCACATGGTCTTTTGTAAGGCATCTGGGGTGTCACAGAACACAGAGAAAGGCAAGCTTCCTGCAGCCCCTGCAGGAAGGAAGCCAGACCAAATGGATATAAATGGGGCCTGAGAACACTTGGCCACAGGACTCATTTGGTGGAAATAAAACCAAAGAAATGACAGAACCTGCTCAAAGCCATTCTCAAGGTCACCATATGGTATATTGCAAGACAAAAACGTCACTTTGGAAAGGCTCCCTGGGATCCGTTAACCCAAGGGGAGAGTTTTTTTGTTTTTGAAACAACTCAGTTCAGACCTGTTAGCCAGGCGTTCTCTGCCGCCAGGAGGAAAGTCAGGTTTTCTTCTTACTATAGGGCATGTGCTTGGTCCCTACTTCTTTCCACAAAAGTGAAAGAGGGGTCAAGACCAAAAAAGCATGTACGTTATCCTCTCCCCTCTGTACCCTTGGACAAAATAAAATGGATGCCCTTCTCAACACATCTCACACTGGCGCATCCTGCAGGAAATCTGGCACCACCCACCCCCAGTCAGGTCCCCACTTCCAAAGCCTCTACAAGTCGCATTTAGGTGACGTCATGATACTGATCGTGTCAAGACTCTATGGAGTGATTTCTTTTTGGCCCAGCCGAATGTCTCATCTGCCCTAGAGGGAAGCAGAAGAGAAACAGAAAAGGGGGGAGACTGACAGATAAAGGAAGTGAATGTTAGCAGTGGAAAAAACACACAAAACCCTTGGAGAAGCCCAGGTCAAAACAGATGGGAGATCAAAACAGCAACCAATGAATAGCCGGGCTTGTTCTTGCGGGTATTTCTAGGAAACCAACCTTAATGCTGATGTTTTATGGGGCCAGGATGAATCTACAGGGTCAGCTTTTTCTCCAATCTCTGAGCCAGAAAAAGACACCCCCTGTCATCTTATAAAAGAGAACCATAGACCAGATGGGTGAAGAGAGTGGAGAAGTACTTCATGCACACATCATCCTCTTGGAGCAATGGAGAATTCGTAAGATTGTGATAAAAAACATGACACTGTGTTTTATGCTCTGTTGTTCTCATATGGGAGTCTTAACTAAAAATTCAAAATGACAAAATTTGGCCCACTGTTTAGAAGAAATATTCTAATGGGCAGAGGAAATCACAGGCTGCCTGAACTTGGAGTAGATAACCTTCACAGTCATCCCAACCCTGAGTTTCCAGGCCACTTGCTTTCCCTAAGGTCTATACATTTTATCATACACTCAACTGAGTACAAGCTAAAAACCTTGCAATTGATTGAAACTATTCTATATACTTTATACAGCTAGCTCAAAAACAAAGAGTGAAGAGAAAAACAGAGGAGAAAAAAAGAAAGCCAAAGGATCATTTACTCTAGGAATCCAGGTTTGTGTTTGTGCTCCACATGAGGTCCAAATTGTATCTGGGCTTGAAATCCTCCAAACTCACAAGCTTTCTCGAAGGACACAGGGTGGGAGCCGTTCAGGATATCATCCCGAGCCTGAAACACAAGAGGAAGCAAACAGCATCAGGAGCTTGGGGGAATGACATATCCTGTCTACGGACGCGTTCCTGCCCCTGAGTGCATCTTCTCTGTGGAGCAAGGGGACAATGTGCCAGCCAACCCAGTGAGGCATGCAGGGCACTGTGGATGATTATAGCACAATAGGATTACTGCAGAAAGAAAGCAAGTCTTTGCCCTGAACTGCCTACAGACGGGCAGCATCAGCAGTGTCCAGTATACGGAAACTAAAGCTTGAGTCTAGTCTAGGGAGGCAGAAGTGGATCACAAAAAATAGAGGCAAAGAGTGAAATAACTGAATAAATGGGGAGGGGGGAAGGAAGAAACAGAACATACTTTCCATTACCCTAAATCATCAAGTGAACAGAAAAATTACCTAGAAGTAAAAACCCCCATCCCAAGATAAAGAAGGGGGAGGGAGGAGAGAGACAGTCAGACACAAGAACTCGATACTACAGCCAGTTAGGGGAAATGATAAGCAAACACAGGCTTAAAATCAGGAACTCAATGTCCCAAGTTCCCCTCTCAATTCTTCACCCATCGCTGCTGCTGCTGCTATTTATGCTTTTTCTTTCTTTCCTTTCTCTAGTTTCACAGTCTTTAGACCACCTAGATGGACATGCTGAGCCATGGCTCTGAACCGTAAACATGTAGCATCTCACTGCCCTATCTCCCTTTCTTCTAGCCTTCCAGCCTCTTTCTCCCCAGCTGTCCTTCCATACCACTCTTCATCCACTAACTACGGGATCAGCAAATGCTTCCTATAAGAGGCCAGACAGTAAACATACCAGACCATGTGGGCCATGCTGTCTGTCAAAACTACCAAACCCTTCCATTGGACCATGAGAGCAGCCACAGACAACAGAAACAATGTGACACATGAGTGGATTTACCAATGTGTGATATGTTAACAATTGAGCTGTGTTCTAATAAAACTTTATTTATAAACACAGGTGATGCTGTGGCTGCACTTTCTTCCCGTGGGCACATAGGTTGATGGATAGAAGAACAGAAAAGGGAAGGAGGAAAGGAAAGAATTAAGAGACCTGAGAAAACAGAGACAGATTGATGTTTTCCTTGAGCCAAAAGAAACCTTGGGGACTGTCTAATGCAAAACCCACATCTTACACATGGGAAACTGCAAGTCAGGTAAGTTAAAGGATTCATCTGAGTTTGCAAATTAGTTAATAGTAAAGAAAAAAGGTTATTGAGAAAATATTGTTCAGTTAACAAGAAGTACTGACTTTTTAAATTTTTTTTGAGAAATACTGATTTTTCTGACCATTATTCGCATGTATTCTAAAATGTTAGCTAAGAAAGCGTTAGTGCATTTGAGGTGAACCAATTAAGTGCCACAAAGCCAGGCAGAGAGAGACAGTCCTGCCCACCAGGTCCCCATCTGGGAGGCCAAAGAAAGGCCCTCCACTGAATGGCCCGCAGCTCATGTCCAACATCAACCCACACCACAACTGAACACATGTGAGGAACACAGGAACAGTGTCCCCAGAAACTGCATGCCATACATATGACAGAAGCCAGAGCCCCACTCCTGCTCAGCACAAGACACAGCAGGGGCTCCCAGGACTCTCACCAGCCTCAATGTCCAAGCATCAAATATAGTACCTGAACATAAAGCAAGTTCAGCTGCACAGGGTCCCTCGAGTCCACGTTCTGATCTGAGTAAAAGAACTTCCTTCTAAGCAGCAGCGTTTCATTTTCGTCGACTCCTTGTTCTCTGAAAGTTCGGCTGTGATCCAGCCAATTTACTGCAACACAAGGCCGCAGACAAGTGAGCTGTGCTTATTTTCCTCTCAGTTTAGGGGATTCATCAAAACAGCGGCTTAATACAGATGCACATGTCTATAATGCTGATATTCAGCACACTTACTTCTTATATTAGAACTGTAAGTTTTTAACACTGCAAAATAATCTAACATATGCCACCATGCACCATATGACATACTGAAAGAAAATGAAAGAAAATTCCCCTTCCCTCTGGGGGTTACAAACTTAAGAAAATCAGTGCTTTATGCCAAGACAACAAAGTCAGCATTTTCCTTTAAGTCAAAAGTGGATACTTTAGTCTCATCAGGTGAAATAATTTATAAACTTTGAGCATAATGAGTTACCTCCAACCCTAAATAGAAAAGAGGAAGAAAATTACAGTGACTGGGGGAGGGGACACTCAGGTAGTGGGGGATGGTAGAACCCTGCCCACGGCCCAAATTGAATCCCACTCATTCAGAAAACGCCCAGCTGATATCAAGGTGCAGAGGAAGTGATCACTTTTCTACTCTTTCCACAGCTCTCATTCCTACACTCCTCCCTGCCCTTAACACATCCATTGTCGCATTCATTACACGCTTCACTAGATTGTAAGCAACTTTAGCACACAAGTGTGTTGGCTTACCCTCATCTTCCACAGTACCTAGGAGAGTATCATGCACATTATAAAAATTCTTGGGATTTGTCTACTAAAGTCCCACTTCTTAAAAAGTATGCAACTGGGAATCACATGAGGCAGAAAAAGAGAATGGAGAAAGGGTCAGAGGAAATGAAGGTCCCACTGAAGATCAATAAACATAATGACGATGATGACATCTTCCCAATGCATCGGCAAGAGCAAGAGCAAGAACAGTGAAAGAAAGAGGCCGGGAAGGTCTACGTGACCTGTGCATGAAGTACGGTTCTCTGGGTGGCAGGGGGCGGGGCGGGTCAGGCAGCCAGGTGCATACAGCACAGGCTTGGTGACACCTGGGGTGTATGTAACGGCTTTTCCAAATAATAACCACGTGGTCACGAAGACTACTTTCCTATGAGAGAATTACGTTGCCATTTTGTAACCCCTAAGGAAATAATGTGTCTAGTCAGCGGTCATCAGTGGCCATTAACAGCACAAAAAGAGAGACACCCAAGCACAATTCCCTGATGGAAATACAGCAGGTCCTTGAATAAAATGTTATTTTGTTATAACGTTGATGAGATGCTGCAGGAACTTAAATCTTGTTTATATCAACTGTTCTGTAAAAAAATTGGTTTCATTATACAACATTTCGCTTAAAGTTGCAGAACCTATTGATGATGTTACATGAGGACTTACTGTACACAACATCACATACGAAGTCTTTATTTGAAAAAATACACACACAAGAATCTGATCAAGCCTCTGGGTCTTAGGAATTAAAAGGAATAGAAGAACATGTTCAATGACACCATAGGTAAGCAATCAACAAATCTGAGATCGTATAAAATTCTATGCAAGTAACAATCTGTTTTCATGTTCCTAAACATTTGAAGAAAAAAGAATGTAAAAGATGAGGAGAAATCCTCAAGACTAAAAGAAGTAAGCAACATATTATTCAACATTATTTGGAGCCCAGTTAAAACAAATTGTTGAAAAAAATTTTTAGAAGACAATGAAGAAAATGTAAACATGACGTGTGTATTTGATATTAAGAGATTACCCTATTTTTGGACTATAAGATACACCCCTCAATTTGGGAGAAAATGGGGGTGCATCCCTGCTCCACTGCCACCATCCCCCAGTGAGCCAGGTAAGCTACATTTGGACTATAAGATGCACCCCCATTTCCTCCCAAATTTGGGGGAAAAGTACGTCTTATAGTCCAAAAAATACAGTACGTTTTTAATGTGAAGTGGTATTTCAGTCACTCAGTTTAAGTCTCAATCTTTTAGTGACACGGACCATAATATTTACAGATGAAATGGGGGGAAAAAGCAAAATGAACAAACAAAACCCAAACAGCCTGCCCCGATCCCAGATGACGGGGGTGGGGTGGGGGGGAGGGGGTAGAGGCCTGGCGAGCCAGCTGCCTGCACTGCCCTTCCTGCTCAGACACTCACAGTCATCATCCGTGTGAAGCTTGGCCTTCAACTTCTCCATTTTCCTCTCATCTCGTAATAGTGTCCTGTCTTTCTTTAGAGTCCCTGTCCCTTCCTCTTTCTTTTCTTCAACTGTTTCTTGAATTAAAGAGTATTCTTCATAGTTTGTTATTCCTAAAAATATAAATTAGGTTATATTATTAGTGATCACACACTGCTATTTTCCCTTTCACTGTGGGTCCTGTAATACTCCCAGGAGTCTCTGGTGACAAAGGACAGAGAGAAGCCTTACCCAGGCGAGGGTTGGGGGCTGCCCATGAAACGCATATCAAATAACTCGGGCTAAAAAGGAGTATTTTCAGATAGTTAAATTATACTCAAAATGTCATGTTCAATTCTCCTAATTTTCAAGAAACAAGCACAAAGTATAGATCACGCAGAACAAGGCAAGACAATGTCAAAGAAGAAGTACCTGAAGGAACTAGGACTTCCTTTGAATGAATAGTGAACTAAGAAAGGCCAGGCTACTTCTTCAAATATGTGAGGGGCTTTAGAAAGCCCCTCTCTGTTTCCTTTACAAAGGAAACAGACTTATTCTCTGAGGAGCTTAATAGAAGCTACAAGAAAAAAAAGCTGTGTAACAATCAATCATACATAGGCTATCCCCATGGTGATATAAAATGTCCCGTAGTGTGTAGGAGACTGAAATATATGACTTCAGAAACATTATTTTCAATTAGAAAATTCCTAGTCTTTTGAAAGAAAAATACAAGCTCTCAATGTTGACTCAGTGAGAAGTTCAAGAATTTACAGCACCAGCCCTTGCCTTTGCAAATCGAGAGAATGATCGCACTCTTAGAAATGGCAGGAATACATGTGCTGGCACACATCCAAGACGGCCTCCCCAGTGAATGGGGTCAGGAAAAGCAGAGGCACATAATTAACGCAAAGCAAGAACCAGAACCGAGGCAGGCGAACACTCACCTATCCTGCTGCAAATAGTCACCAGGAGCTCCCCAACCGTCTTGGAGTCGTCCACCATCACCGTCTTCACAGACCCGTCCAGCATCCGGATTTTCTGGGGTCTCTGTTTCTTTTTATACTCCAAAATATCCTAGGGCAAAACCAGATGCGCATTTCACACTGCGTGTGGAACTAGACAATGAACTTGGACACCTTCTTTGAAAAAATGGATTTTCCCTAGCATATGCTGATTTCTCCCTTCAAAGTGTTCGTGAGATTTTTGCCACTAGTACAGAAAATCTAGGGCTAAATAATTTCTTTCATCAAGAATGCTTAAAAATCTGATAGTGGAATTGCACCCAAAGAATACTTTTATGGTTGATAAGTACTGAAAACTAACCTCTGTAAGCTGAAAGTAGCATATGCCCTCCTGACGGGCTGGGAATTATCTGCTCTAATAAGAATTAGCAGAGGAAAATTCCTACTTGACTTTTAAAAACACAGTAGCGTGCTCCTCCAATTATCTCTTACACAGTTCTAAGGAATGTTTAATATCCATGTCATGGAGGACATAATTAATGCCCCTATAACTCTTCATAGTCGTGGGGTATCACAGTCAAACGGGTTTTCACCGTAATGGCAAGGCCAAATAAGGGTAATAAATGAGGAGTGATTTTTAAATAGAGATTTCTTTTTTTATTACACGTCTTAAAAATAGAATTATGGAGGGAAAAATTAACTGGCAACACATACTTTACTCTTGCTTTATGGAATACTGACCAATCGGATCCAAGTATTCGATATACCAAAACATAGTATCTCGAAGGGTAAGCCAAACAGAACGTTTAACACTGTTTACTCATTACCTCTTTCCACTTCCCTAGCACAACCATTTTTGGTTGTTACTTTTAAGGATCCTTATTAAATGTACATCTAATAATAACTTTTCTTTATGTAAATAAAACATGAATTAATATTCAATCTCTAACTACCCTTAGGATTCCTTTTTTATTTTCCCTCTGATCCATTATTGCTTTCTATCACCATTCAGCAGGGTACTTCCTACATACTTACGGGAAAACACTGATTCTTCTTTCCTAACTACTAAGTCCAACAATGGCATGTAGAAACACTTTTAAATACTAACCACAAACTGCTTTAATTACTCCGTGGCATTTCAAGAATTTGGACGGCTGATATTTTCTATCACTACCTGCACAACCCTTACAAAATACGTTAGATCAAGACTATTAATAAGATGCCCTTGAATCAAAATAAATCACTGGGTCTCTCCTTTTCTTTCAAGCATAATTATGTTGGCTTCTACAGAAGGCTCCGGGAAGAAGTGATGGGAAAGAACGAGATCAGCGGCATACCCCATTTCGCAACATGTAGTAATCCAGTGTTCTGCCTGCTTCCAGCCAGATGCCTTTCCTGGGGTCTTCATCAGAGAGAAACAGCCCATAGTCAGAAGCTGGAAGATGAACAGAAAGACATACAGAAGACAAGGTGATGAAGCCATCACTGCCATCCAGGACCTGAGCCTGCTGACTGGGCAAGAACGTGCGCCTTCCCTTTCACTGGGGGAAGTTTCGTTTTGACACCAGGAACAGCCACTGGCACCAAAGCCGGTGGGGGTCGGGGGAGGAATAAGGACTGAGCTGAAAATCCAATACTTTCAGACAAGGTTGATGTTTCTTAAAACCAGTTGTGTTAGAATTTAGGAAAATACAGTATCAAGAACAAGCAGTCCAAATTTCTTTCTATCTGAATTTGGCTTTGTTTCTTATCGCTTGCTATAGAAACCAGGCCAAGAGCCCATAAAGAATGACAAAACAGACATGGAGAAAAACAAATGCAGAGACCCTCTGAGCCCAAAGCCACTTAAGCACAGAGGGGCCAAAGGAGCCTTTTCATTTGGAATAATGCCTCCGTCATCCTAATACAGTATCACGGAAGGTAAGCCGGAGTTCGCCCTTCATGTGAAATGAAGCTTCTGTCCTCCACGTCACTGAATTATGACACAGTCCACGTTCTCCATAGAGACCCTCCTATCTGGTCCCAGAGGCATGAAGGGCAGTGGCAGGAGGAAGGCGGAATCATCTCCTGTCTAAGGATGGTCTCCTCCTTAATGTGGTTCAGGGAGCCCCAGGGGCCCAGGTGAGGGTCGGAACTCCTGTTGTTTCACAGAAAACCAATTTCAGATCTTTAAAGGTTTGGGCTTCTTGAGCTATAAAGCAATCTAACCCAGAGGGGGTTGGGGACCCTGGGAGAAAAATGGTAACAGAACAGTAAAGACACCATAAATGATTAAACAACTAGATCTTGAAATAAGGCTGGGGAAGTAAGCAAATTTTATTTCTGGGTAATCTAGAAATAATGGAGTGTTTTTGAATAATGTAAATGATGCTTTACATCAAAAAGGTCAGCAGTTTAGTAAGAAATGGCTCTTTTGAAGAAGATCTGTCCCCCCTGTAATTACCCTTAATGCTATGTTTGATTTTATGCTTCCAATTTTTAAGATAAATTTTATAGACTTTCATACCAAAGGTTTATCAGTTTGGGAGTAGTCCCAATTTCTCAAGTGTTGGGCAATTAATCAGTAAATAAAGAAAGAAAATGTAGTGAGAAGACAAAAGGAAATGGAAAAATTGTATGAGTAGCTTTTGTTTAAATTCAGATTAACAGGGGTTAGTGGTTTAACTAAATATTAAACAAAACATATAAAAACAAATGCCTTTTTTAAAAAGGTTTGAGATAAAATTTATAAAGCCCCTTCAAAGCACTCGAAATATAAGTCTTGCCCTGGGTCCCAGGGGCAGTTCCGGTCTTCCTTGGGCTGCTGGCAACGGACAGTTCCTCACACATAAGGAACGGCTCAGGAGCTACAGCACCAGTGACTGTCACGGCAGCATCATTTGTCCTTTATGGGCAAATGAGATGGCTGCATTGAAGAACGACTCGTAAACTGCAGAGCCCAGTGCTGATATAGGGGAGGGCCACGGCGATGGGCATCACTCAAGGGCAGATGCAGTCACTGTCACCCCAAGCCTCACACGGGAAGCAAGCAGCGTCCAGGCTACGGAGATATTTCAATTGAAACACAGACACTGGGGGCCATGCTTGTCATTCGGAGCCTCCATTTCTTTCATGACTAAGTGAAGAACATACAAACACATTTCAAGAAACCAGTGAACAACCAATTGCTACCTTGACCAGTTTGTGCCTCAGGTACCCGTTCCCGAATGACCCGACACGCATCGTACACGGCTGTGGACGGCTCGAACTGCATAGTCTTCACCACGTTGCAGTGGCGGACGCAGATCTTTAAGGACAGGGCCACCATCTTCGTAGGTGATTTGGAGACTCCCACTTAGAGCGTCTGGGGAACACGAAGAGACAAACCCTGCCAGTTAAGATCATCGTTTTTCTTGAGGGAAAAACACCGGGCTCTAAACCAGCTTTAAAAATCAAACGAGACTACAGCAGCAATTAAAGAGAATGCTTTGGATACAAATACAAGCTAAAAACTAGATTTTTGGAAAACTTTAAAATAAGAGCAGCATGTAATGTTGGGGCTAACATTACCACAGTATGGCAAGTAGAGTCCCTTGAGAGGAAGGGACACAGAAGCCTTCAGCCACCAAGCCTCCTCCTCTGAGGCTGTTCCCTACTTGGGGTTTTCTAACGGGTCCATTGGGAGTGGGATTTCCCAGGTTCTTCTCCTTCAGGTGAGGGCAGAGAGCACTGGGCACCCACAGCTGTCTCCTGAACGTGCCTCTGCCAACAGTGTCAGTGCCCAGGCCCGCCAGCTCCTGGGGACAAAGGAAGAATCACCCACGCCTCCATTTCCCACAGATAAAGTAGGTGTGGTGATATCAGCCCTGCATAGTTCATGGTGGAACTGAATCCTAAGGGGGCAACAATGTCAGACCAATACAGAGCCATCACTGATGAGGCTGGAGTGGCCCATTTTAAACACCCAGTGTGGCAGACAGCTGCTCGCTCTTCAGGGCTCTGGAAGGGAAGAAAATGCCAATTCAGTTGTTATTTCATTCAAACAAACTACCGGGATATTTTGTTACTCATCTAGCACAATGGCTTTAGAAAACAAACAGGGTTAGGCTAGGTTTGAATTAATTCATGAATTATTTCCTTCTAAACTTTAAAACCAACAATTTGGTGCATTTACTTTGAGTTGGTGGCTTCTAGTCTATGTTGCCTACCTGCTCTATTCTGGGGCCAGAAGCTACCCCCTCCTCCCAAGCCAGCCTGTCAGTGCACGGCTTGTGCACAAGAGGGAGGCATCTTCTCTGCACCTGAGAACCAGCGAAGACTTACCCAGCTACCTGTCACCCTGGCAAATGAAGTAAACACTTTCAGTTAATAGCTGTTAAATCCTAGAGCTGCACTGCATAACACAAATCCATGGGAATTTCAAGCTCCCACTCTTTCATCTTTTCTTAGACAATCTTTGGGTAGCAAAGCGGTACCTTGGAGCCCCCTCTATGCCTCTTGCCCACTTGAGAATCAAGTGTTAAGAAGCAGCGAGGTGACCAACACGCTAGAGGACAACAGGCTGAGTGGCAAGACCACAAATGGGTGCCTCTGGGGTGTCACTGCTTAGCAGGCTCAACTGATTGCTGGCTTCCTGACAACAGGTGACGAAAGTCACTTGGATACAGAGGATATTCTTAAACAGATGCTCTGGCGTCCACAGGCAGGGTGTACACACACTCTCTGAAGCAACAACTCAGACCACGCAACCATAAAGTCATTCTGACCTCTACTTACATTCTGAATAAATTTTGCCTGTGAAAATGTGAGAATTTTATTACTTAAGAAATGTCAAGATATACTTCTCGATAGCAGTGTTCAGTGGGAGTCTGTCCAAAACTGAATTAATTTTCCACAGCCTGGGCAATGGTTCGGTTGTTGACACAGCAGAGAAGTTCAAAATCTCCTATGATTTCCCATCTATAGTGTCAAGAATGTTTAAAGCCTTATATAAAAGGCTCTATCCAACTCTCTCTGTGCAGGCCCATCTAGCCCACCAATTCCCCAACCAGGGAAAATAAAATTTAAAGGGTAGAAATAGACAAATGTGCTGTAATGTTGATCACTCAGTGGGATAATTTGTCCCCTGGGGCTGATGACAATGTGGGATTTCATGAACCACTGAGATCCGTGAGCATGGCTGGTGGTAAGATTCAGTGGGGAAGGCCACGAACTTGATGTTGTCATGGATGCAATTTATGGGATGCACCACAGAGGACGGGATGATTAATCTCTTTCATTCCCTGAGACTAGGAAGTAGTATAAGTGTCCCTGCATGAAGGCTGCTCCTCCCAGGCTAATAATGAGGCATTCTGCAGAGCAAATGAATGGTCTGTATAGCTGAGCAGGGAGACAGATTCAATCAAAGGGCAAGACAGAGGGATGACATGAAGCCACAGTAGAACAGTAAACACAGGCGCTCAGAAGGAAGCAGAGACGCCCAGGGGAGCGAGGAGAAAGGGGCAAATGGGGAAGCAGAGAGCGGACAGAAGCAGGAGACTATAGGATGGAGGCTGGGGAACACAGGAGAGAAACCCAAAGAACTGGGAAGAAGGGAAAGAGAGAAGCATAAAAAGTACTCATGCAACAGTGAAGGAAAATCTCTATCCAAAACAACTGGAAAAATGAAGAAGCTATTCACCAAGGTGGGGAAAGCTGCTGGAGGCACAGGTTTGGGGTGTACTCAGTGGAAAGGTGGAGGCGAGTCTGATACCAAGGCAACGTAACAGGGTGCTCTCATACGTAAATCCTTGGAACTAGAAAGATCACGTAGGGAGTAAGCAAGAGAGAGAGAGAGAGACCCAAAAACTGAGACTTGGAAAGACATTCTAAAATCAGAACAAGAAGAAGGAACCAATAAGGATGCCTAGTGGCAGGTGAGGGCAGAGAGCGGAGAGAGGGTAGGGCCAGAAGAAGGTGCATCAAACAGCAGGAAGAGATCGACTGTGCTAAATGCTGGTGCAGTTCAGGGAACGTGAGAGCTGGGACAGGGCAACTGCATCCTGCAGCTTGGCAGTGTCTGGCAGCTGAGATAAGAGCAGCTTCGTGGAGGGGTCAGGCCAGAGCAGCAGGTTCAGGGAGAGGTGAGGAGAGGGGCTGGCCCAGCAGGTACAGACTCATCTTTTTGAGGAGCTGCTAAAAGGGGGTGAAGGAACAGGTGGTAGCTCTGATTCATGCTTCTAAGGCTTTTATCCAGAAGTCTGTATCACGGGGTCACTGCCAACTCCATATCCACACATTATCTGCATAGACATGGTTTTCCCCAGCTGTGGTCCTAGGGGCAGCCCCGGGACTGCTCAGTGCCCTTCCTGGAGGCAGGTGCCTCACCACACCTGATCTCTGTTCTGGGCCCTGTGCATGCTGCTGGCTGCCCGGGTCTGGGTGAGTGCAGACGAGCAGGCAAGTCTTGGTTCTGGGAGAGGGCACTGGACTAGGAGTCCATGGTTCAGGTACAATGCCAGGCCTATGATGCCTTGGAACTGTGGGCCCCATTACCTCTCTTCCTTCCACTCAGAGAGCAGGAAGCCATGGGCTCCCATGCAAGAAACTGACCAGAAGACACGCGGTGTTTGGCCAACTATTCCTATGGAGTTCCCTCTGTCTCCACAATTTATCATCTCACTAGGGAGGCCATGGAATAGAGGCCACTATCCTTAGTTCAGGGCACTCAATAGAACAAGATGCCCAGAGATTCATTACAAGGTTCATGTCCTCAACTTTCATACCATCTCAAAAACAACTACTGCAAACACCATCATTATCACTACATGGGAACATTTTACACAAAAACACCAAAAAACTGTGTCAGTCACTCTGAAAGAGCACTACAGTGGTCGAAGACTAAAAGATTCCAATTTCTTCATCTTCTTCTTAGCTCTGTGTTTTATTATGACTAAATGTTCCCAAGCAAGCATGAAGCAAAAAAAAAAAAAAAACCCAAAACAAGACCAGCAGTTTCCTTCATGGAAATGTGCAAATTATGTACACAAAGAATGATTTATAAGCTATACAAGCAGGCATAGGAACAAAGTATTGTTATTATTATTACTGTTACTACTACTACCACTACTACTATTTGAGAGGATCACTCATGTAAGAAGAGCTCAGTGAGATCCAAACCGAAGTGCACAGTGACTTGTTCATCACCCCACCGGACACGTGGCCCCAGCCGCGTCTAATATCACTCATGACACAGGGAGATACTTGCAAAATGGAGACAACAAAAAGGAAAGTGGGATTAAAACGTACAGTAACCTAGAAATGTCAGCTAAAGGTGACACGTATTTTCAACACCTGTGAGAAGTTTCACTGCACATCCACCGAAGCCTTCAAAAACCACGCAGCTCAGACAACTCGTCTTGATAAAGCCCGACGCCCGCTCTCCATCACGACCCATCAGGACAGCACAGCACTGGTGCAGAAACTGGCCCTCGCTTCCACTTTCCTGCATCCTCACCCTTCCTTGATCCCTGCTCTGTGGGCAGGGAGTCTAAGAGAGCTGACCAGAGTTCCCTCTCAGGTTTGGCTGCAAGAAGGCTCACAGTCAATGTGTGTGCCATTTCTTGTAGTGTTGTTCTAGTCGAATCCTGCCTCTCTTTTGTGACCTTATCCTTGTTACTTTTTTTTCTTTACCCCAATTTGAATGTATATGCTTCCATGCTGGACCTTAAGTATTTTTTTGTTTGTTTGCTTGTCTTATTGCTAAAAGACGAAGTATAAATTCCTGAAAGATGCATTACTTTCCTTTTCATACTCTCTTCTCACTCGGATCATTTTTGCCCTGATTGTACGTGTGAAGGCTGCCTGGACAAACAGAGACCCTTCTGTGCCATCCTTTGTGATGACGAGCCAATGGAACAAGTGGTGAAACTCAGACATTCTCCTGTTAAAGTAAACACCTGTCAGTCCCAGGGAGACGTAAACAACCCAGCATGATGGCAGCAGTGCCGGCTGCCCAGCCTCACCCAGTCCACTCTGGGACAAACAAGCCCAGCTCAGCCAAGGCCTCCTGGTGTCTGACAGAAATGTCCACCATTGGTCAGGGCGAGCAGCCACCCCTTGGATCTCTGCCCTGATAAGCAAGGGCCATGAGGTGGTCCAACCCCACCCCTGCCTTACCAATTGCCACACTGGGCTAGTTACTTAATTGCAATCTGCCTCAGTCTCCTCCTCTATAAAATGGGAGACAATAATGGATCTACTTATAAGCTTGCTAGAGAATTAAAGGCACATAGAAAGTACAGGTCAGGGTTTGTTGTTGTTACTATTAGTCATGGGGAAGGGAGAAACACTGGAAGCAGCATACTGTATTCAGCTACCACCTGA